AACCTGGCAGCTGACTTAGTGGGCATCAGCATGTAATCCCTTTTCCACTGAGAAAGACGCAGGGCTGGCACTTCACTCTCGTTAGCTGGTGGTACGACTTGAACAGGTGTCAACTGGAAGCGCAGGAAGCGTGTTTGATCTCTATAACAAATAGAAAAAGGAACCTCAGGTTCATGCAGGATCAGATCCTCGGCAAAGTTGCTTAGGCCATACTGAAGCTCTGCTGCTGCTTTGTTTCTGTTGCTGCCTAAGCCTCCTGTAACCAGCGTGCTGCAGGCATGCCTGACTGCAGTGAAATGCACTTCTGGGAAGAGGATCTGGGGAACTGGGTACAGCAAAAGTAACCATGTCCCTGAATGCGATTGTTGTAAATTCATCCTGCTGTGCATACCGTATTTTGTCAAGTGTAGCCAGGAACTTGTGACTTTCTTTAAGAAAAAACTTTTTGGATTTCAAAATGAATTGAGAGGATGCAATGACTAGATTTTAATCTAAGAAGGGAATTTGTGGTTTTCCTATTAAGGAGGATGTTTTCTCAGAAATTCAGACTTTGAATGTACAACTTTGAGCTATGTGTGAATACACATGCAGTCCTGAGATCTTTATTGTTGACTGTGGTTTTACTTCTCTTTCTCGCTCTCTGGTCTCCTTTATTCTCTGCATATGGGCTTCGCCACTTTATCACTGCCCTTTTTAAAAGACTATTTCATTTACTGTAAATACAGTACTGTCTCACCTCTTTTATCTTCAAGTGTTACTATTTTAAAATTAGTTAAAATCTACTGCCAAGGTTAAACAGTTTAAGATGAAGAGAAACTTAACCTGTTAATAAATTCAGTTGTTTTGGTTCCAGCAGGAGTTTATAGTCTTTTAAAACCCTATACAGTTCTTCATATGTTGGCATTCTCTACTGCTAGAGAAGCATAATCTTGAATCCTTACTTGAGATCAGACAGAAAAAGGGCTACAAACTTGTCTTGACATATGCGCTTTAAATGTTAATAGATGCAGTCTAAAGACTGGGTCGTCTTACTGTAGTCTGCTATTTTTGGGTAGCACCAGATAACTTCTTTCAAACAAAAGGCAAGGTGTTTGTTCCAGAATTTCCCTTCTAGAGCACAGAGGATGGATGAGTTCTTAAAGTGATCTATGCATCTCCTAGGCAAAAAGAATGTTTAAGAGTTTGAGTGTGCTTGAGTTGGAGCTTGCGTTGCATGCAGCTCACCACATAAATAGTTCTCTTTGGGGGTGGACAAAATTCCAATTTAATGGCTTTTTCATTGTCTTTTGCAGGCTTTGATCTCTCTGATCCTGAAAAGGAGAAGATGGGGATTTTATCCCTACAGTTGAAAGAGAAAAATGTCCTTCACTCTGTAAGTTTTAATCTATAAAAAAAAAAAAATCTGTTTTCTAACACTATCCTAATGTTTGCATATATAATGATATCAGTAATGATTTTATCTGTTAGGAGCTAATAATCACTTTGTTGAGTAATGCTGTCGCACAGTTCAAGAAATACAAATGTCCAAGAATGAAAAGTCATTTGAGTGAGTATAGATAATCAGATGCATTTTTTTTTTTAAATTAATTTTGCAAAAACTTTTGATATTGATCTGGAATTTTTTTCTTCTTAAATCAGTGGTTCAAATGGGAGAAGAATATTACTATGCTAAAGATTATGCCAAAGCTTTGAAGTAAGTACCATCCATGATTGCTTCTTTCACATGCTATTCCTCTCACTACAACCTCATGTCTTATTGCTATGTAATAAGGTTGGAAGCTTATCTAAGATGCTCCTTGTGCCTGGATTTGATTGAAGCACAAGCTTTGGAGTTCACGAACTCCACTTACATTAAAGAAAGCAAAACAAATATGAAGAGTCAGTTATTAGAGTAGAAAAACTTCCTGCTGTAAGCTGGTTTGGGGACTTGCCTTATTGGGCAAGTATTATTTATTTCTAGCTCACTGATTGAGTGCTGTCTGTCTCTCTTCCAGAAGTGATTTCTGAAACTTGCAATAAGAATATAGTTACATCTAATTACAGACTTTGTAGTTACAAAATTCAAAAAACATGGAAATATAGTAAAAAATTTTTTGCTTATGTATCAGGGAATTAGCAAAAGGGATTATTTTTATTGGTGCAGTTTTCTGCTATTAGTGATTACAGAGCTAGTAAAGCTTAGTGCTGAGGTCCAGCTACCATCTTTTCTGAAGAACATGTCTTACGCGTAATTTCTGAACTTTGTATTTTTAAGGGGAAACAGAGTCAAGGTCATGTTAAGCAGGAGTCCCACAGTGTTCTCATTAATTAGGTTTCAAAGATCATATGTTGTAAAGGGAGTATGTTTGAGGTAGGAGAGATGTGTTTACTGTTGTTACTAGCTGACTGGAAGCTCCATGGAGGAGAACATAGGCTAGGATAAGCAGATCAATTTGTATCGAGCCTAATTTTTGTATGAACAAGCATTTCTTATTCAGAAAAATCTACCTAAAAGTGAAGTAGTCAGAAACTCTTGTCTTGAACAGTTGAACAGAGTTAAAAAAAATTAACTTCTCTACTTTGCTAGTAATAGCAAGTGTTGCTCAGTATTAAAACCGTATTAAGGTGTGCAGTTTTGCCTGATAAAGATTGATGCATGTGTTTTTTGTAGATCTTTGAAACCCTTGAAGGGAGCAGGGGATAGGAGTTAGGAGAGGAAAGAAACATCTCAGCTTAAGGAACGTTAACATCCTTCATTTTGGAAAGGGACTTTATTGTGGGGTTTTGGTTTGTTTTTCTTAAAACTTAGCGCATGCTCAATGATAAAGCGTATTTTTAATGCAGTGCTGGACTAAGACTCTTCTGTCTAGTTGCTACTTTGCTAGTTCTTTATGTGAAAATAGGTGAATGTTCCTGTTGTTCTCTTATGAAAATTGTTCTAGCTTGAAATAGAAAATTCATGGAATAAATGTGTTTCTTTACAATAATTTCATACTGTTTTCAATAAATTATTGCAATGTGTAGACAGTAGACTTGACTTTAATCTAGCGTTTATGTTAGTGAAGGTGAGTTTTGTATTAATGATACCAAATAAATGCAAGCTTCTGAAGAAAAATACTGGTGTGTGTAACTTGATTTTCTGTCAACGTTACTCTGTTGCAGGCTCTTGGATTATGTTATGTGTGAATATCGCAGTGAAGGATGGTGGACTCTTCTCACTTCCATATTGACGACAGCTCTCAAATGTTCATACCTGATGGCCCAGCTAAAAGATTATATAACGTACTCTTTAGAGCTACTGGGTAGAGGTATTCTTTTAAGAAATATACTCAACCTATACAGAAAAATAAAAGTACGTGTATTTGGAAGTTTGACAAATCATTGTCAGACACAGCGCCTACAGTACTTCAATTGATTTGACTACAAAATAACTATATACCTGTGCTGAATTTTTACTACCTTCTCTCATATACTGAAAGCTGTATTTTCTTGCTCTTCTATTTATAAAATTCGTTGCAATCAAATAGACTGTGTCAGGATATCTGAGGCATGTAGCTTCGTTTGAGACTGAATAATATAACAAAGTTCCTGAGCTTTGTGGTAAGGGAAGAACTGTAGTAGAGCTAAAGGGAGAAAAACAATTTTCCTAGTAATTAACAAAGGTAGCACAATTTTTTCTGGACTTTAAAATCTCCAATGTGCTTCTCAAACTTTTTACTAGAACTCTGCTGGTGAAATATGTATGTGGTATGTTTTAGGGAAAAAACTGTGACATAGGGTGGCTGCACAGTAATAATGCAAATGCTCTACTCCATATAATGTCTGTTGGCATTGCAGAAATAATCCTTTTTGTGCCCTAAATTGCTACCTAATACCACTATTAGGGTAGGTGTGGTAAAAATGCGTTTGCATCTTCTGTTAGCTAGCCAGGCTACTCTGCTTTGTATTAAAGAATAGCCGATGAGACAAACGCACCTTTCTTCATCTTCAAGAGAAGGGTGCTTATTTTAATTAGTCATTTTTTTTTTTCCTGTCACCTTTTGTAGTTTTTGTTTCTAATACTGTCTGAGCTTGCCTCTTTGCATGTTCTGGACTTTTCTACTGTTTCTTCCATTTTTAAGTATAAATAACAGGAAGGTATAGACGTTATTCTCTTGGGGTTTTCTTCCAATAAATACTTTTGGTTAGACAAGCATTTAATAATTTTACTTAGTTCCAGTGGAAGTAAGAGGAAACACTTAAAATAGAGGAAGTTCTGGAAACTGAATGAATCCTTCATTACTGGTAGTAGAATGTTAGAATTTTTTTTTTTCCCCAGAATGTGTTTTTTGAAAGATGCAATCTAAAGGAAAGTTTGTTGTGTGTTTTGTTTTTTTTCCAAACTTAAAAATAAATAAGTAAGAGGACTTGCTTCTATCTTGTAATCCTTGTTTTTGTTCTGTTTGCTAGCATCTACTCTTAAAGAAGATCAGAAATCTCGAATAGAAAAAAATCTGATAAAAGTTCTAATGGCAAGTGGCAAAACTTCTGTTACCCTTTTAAATAATCTTAAGAGCGGTCAGTGTTTGGTAACCTTCTTTTATTGTTATTTGTAATCTTCTGTCTGGATACAGAATGAAAGCCCTGATCCTGAACCTGATTGTGATGCTCCTGCTGTGAGAACATCACAAAAATTGTGGGCTGACCGTGTTTCTTTGGCGGGCAGTAATGTTTTTACAATAGAAGTCCAAGATTTTATACCCTTTGGTAAGTAAGAAAGCAAATTTACATCAGATTATAAATTTCAATGTAATTGTATCTTGAAAATAACTAATTAGGAAAAAATACCAAGTGTGTATCGAAGCCAGCAACACTGAAACTCATGTTTCAGCGCTGCTCTGTTCTTCATCTAAACCAGTAAGATAAGAAATCATGAGAGAAGCCAGTGATCTCTTATCCCTGATATGGATTACTAAAGAAGAATCCCTTGCTTTTTGAAAGACTTCTGCCACTCTGGTGTGCTTTCAAGTAGGATTCTGAGGAAAGAGGGCAGAATATGTGCAAAGTAACACTCCACATAGAAAGGGAGTGTAAGTGAGCGTTACCTACAAAAGAAGTGTATCTAAGCATACAGGATTTGTTTTTTTTTTCTGCTGGATGTCTGCCTCTTCTCTCCTCTGCAAAGGTTTGGTCAAGTGCTGAAAAGTGGCTTTCTGTGACAATGTTAGTAGTCGAATTTGCCCTAGTTGTATACAAACCAAAGTTTTGAGAATATGCACAGAACAATCCTTACCACAATTATTTCAAGAATATGCTTCTGGTGTTTTGTGGTGTAGTTTGTGTTTAATACCTACTTCTTCTTGTTTGTTTCTTCTTTTTTTTTTTTTTTTTAATTCCAGTGCAATGTAAAGCAAAATTTCTTGCTCCTAGTTTTCATGTTGATGTTCCTGTGCAGTTTGATGTATACTTGAGAGCTGATTGTCCTCATCCTATAAGATTTTCTAAGCTCTGCATCAGATTCAATAATCAGGTAAGTATGTTCTATCTACCTCTGACCTAGTGATAGAAGCTTATCATAAGAATGGAATAATATCTGTTAGTGTTCTTAAACATAAAAAAAATCAAAAGTGTTTTTCCAAAAATTACGTTAATACTTAAGTTGGAAAGGTGTTTTTTCTTTTTACGTTATCTATCACTTTTATCACAGTATCAATATACTTGTCAAAACTCTCAAAGACTGTTTGTTTAGTTCATCTGTCATATCTTTGTTTTTTTATGAAGCTCTCTAAGTTTCAGAAGGATCATTTTTATGTCATTTCTCTTGATGTTCTTGTGTGAAATTACATTAATATAACGGATATCTTGTGTCAAAGAATTGCGTTGTAATTACTTGCCAAGTCTAACTTCAGTAGTGTGAAAAGTAGCAAGAACCCATATAGTTTGATCCAGTAACACAGAACCTTAATATCTGCTATAATACTGTTACTCTCTAAAGATGTCTTAAGACTGGATTTGTCAGCTTTTTTCCCTCACTCCTCCATTGTAGGATTACAACCAATACTGTGTGGTAGAAGAAGCCTATCAAAAAAGTGATATTCTGGAACAGTCATCGCAAGGAACAATGTGCTTAGTCCCTGGCAAAACGAGGAAGTTCACTTTCAGATTTGTTGCAAAAACTGAAGATGTAGGAAAGAAGATTGAGGTTTGTCCATTTGTTTTACATGTTTCTTACTAATGCTTACGAAGAATTCGAAACTACAAAGCTGCCTCTAATCTGGCACCAGTTACTAATGTCACTGCAGTTCTATATGTTTGGATTCTTGAAACGAAGTACCAAAAAAGAAAGTTAAAACTTTATTGATAATGCCAAAGCCAAAAATTGTCAGAAAAACTTAAGTATTACTTCAAGTTTGGTTTTTGGGGGTGATTTTTTTTTCATATGTGCAATACTCTAAAAAAAAAAAAAAAGGGGGGGGAGGGGGTGGTATAGCACTATGGGAAGGCAGGGAACTACAAAATACTACACTGCACACACATAGGCAAGGATCCTTTTCCCACTGCTCTTTCATTAAATGAAATGCTGGAGTAGTGAGGTGTCTTCAGTCTCCAAAGCTGCCAGAAACCTTTTGGTGATGCACATCTTTATGATGCCTGTAGATGTTGGAAAACTATATTTTTACAGTAGGTGATCTGAAGACAAAGTAGTTAGTACATGTTTAAATTTTGTGTCTATCAGATCACCTCTGTGGATTTGATCCTGGGAAGTGAATCTGGCCGATGTGTGATTCTGAACTGGCGCGGAGGAGGTGGAGATGCTGCTTCATCTCAAGAAGCATTGCAGGCAGCACGTTCCTTTAGGCGAAGACCGAAGCTCCCAGACAATGAAGTGCACTGGGACAGTTTGACTATTCAGGCAAGCACTATGTGAGTAAAAGCTTGAAAATACATATGTATCGTGGTGAGTCTCCTCTGAGGTCCTGATCACTCTGCCTAAAAGAAGAAGAAAGACTTGTGGGGACTTCTTTAATATGAGCTTTTTAATATGTCTTTGTTTGACTTGGGGCTAAGATAGGTACTATCTTAATTCTTTAGGACTTTAGAGGCTCTGGATAGCTAGAAGTACAGAAAAAGCTTGCATTGATCACTGAGCATACCAAGCATGTTTTAGTTCTCCCCTTCACCTGACTTTGCTAGGCAGGCTTTTCCTAGATTTTTGTGCAAACTAGGAGCGGTGGTTGTTCTCTTCTTTGTGTGACAACTTTTGTAAAGAATCCCTAAGAAACTATATTGGAAAATAATTATTAATAAATAGACTGTCACTATTAGATGTATTCAAAAGAATTAAATCTGATTGCTGTTGATGGGGATGCTTTTTTCTTTCCTGGCAGAACAACTGAACCTTTAATGCTTATTACTGGGGTTTCAAACTGTTTGTTTATAGAGTTGTTCCCATCGTGTGTTGCTTTTCAAGAATCTTGCATCTCCTGGTTGAATAGGCCACTGCTTGTCAAAACTGTAGTAAACAATAGGCTGTTTTCATGTCCTTTAAACTAGACTTAAAGACTTCTTATTTAAGAAACATACAATAACTGAGTCTTTTCTCTTACAGGATTATTTCTAGAGTGCCAAACATTTCTGTTCAGCTTCGTCATGAACCTCCTGCCCTGACTAATGAAATGTATTGTTTGATTGTGACAGTCCAGTCACATGAGGAGACAGTGGCCAAAGATGTTAAACTTACAGCAGGTTTAAAACCAGGTATTTGGGATTATTTTCTTTTAATTAAGCATCTCCTAATTGCCTGTTCTTGGTGCAATGCAGAGAAATACAGTAAATGGCTCTCCTGCAGTAATTAGGAGCCAAACCAAAGTGAAGGTTGGGAATGATGAGATACTAGTGCGAAGAACAAGAGCTAACAGACTTACTCAGTTATGGTTATCTTAACCACTGCTTGTCAGTGGTGTTTACATGGGTATTTTCAAAAGATAAGTCTTTACAAGTTTGAAAGAGAACATGGAAGCTCTTGTATTCCTTCCTAATCTTTTATTTAAGTTGCTCATAACTAAATTTTTCTTTTTCCCAAGAAGTAGGTATTTTGCTCGCTGAGATGAAAGCATTAGAGAGTGCTAGATATATGTTTTTTAAGTATAGTCTTTTTGAGTTTTCTCCCATGCTCACCTCCAGTTTTTTCCCTGCCCTGGACTATGTGGTTTGATTTTTAAACCACCTGAAATTTGGGGAGTGGTGGTGAACTTAGTATTTTTTTGAATGAAAAGGAAAAAATGCAAATATTATACATCTAAGTTCTGGTTAGCTGTATGTAGTTGTTGCTGACAGTTTTCAATATGTGAAGTCCAAATGTTATACTTGGTACGCCTATTTGTAGCAATTATCCTAAAAGGCAAAAATATTTTTAAGCCACTAGCATATAGAATGCAAGATGTGCTGTGTACTGTGAAATAGAACCACATTGCCTATACAGTTGCACTGTTCATTAAAGTCAGTGGAGTGTTCTTTAAACTTATTTAATTGGATGTTTGAGCTTGGCTCCTGAAGGAGTGTTTAATAGTTGGTCTTGATTTTTTTTTTTTTTTTTTTCTTCCCCCTGCTTGATCTTGATTCTTAATGTGCAATATGCAAGGTCAGTGTGGGCTTGTTGATTACATTAAAAGAACAATTGAAATTTGACATTTCATTTATAGGGAAGGTGATATATTTTCCACAGTTGCAACTCTTTGGCAAGATGTGGCTTATTTTACTTTGAAAGTTATCCACATGATTGCAGTAATGCCATTATTCCAGTCAACCTCTGACTGAAGAATGGTGTCATTTAACATCTATACATTTGTTTTTACGTTTTTTTCGACACAGATTTGGAAGAACAATTTTAAAAATACGTAAAATCGTTAAGCCATGCTCTTGAAAACAGAAGAATCACAGAACAGTGAAACTTCCTTTTTATTTCATATAGAGTACCAAGAAAAACTTGGATCACATAATCATATTGTGTTTTGTAAATGGTAGGGAACATCTAGATATGATTTTTGATTTTTGAGATTTTTTTTTTTCTGGCCTAAATAGATGAAACAAAAACCTTGCGGGATGTGAACCCTCCAACTTAGAAAACTTAAGGTGTTGTCAAATCTACCCTCTGCTGATACTTTTGAAAGATTGCCTCAACCAAATGAACAATGTTAATTCCTCATGCATTGCTTTTTGAGATTAATATTTTAATATTTTTAGCTATTGTTTTCATGCTTCAGTGACATAAACCTGTGTGGATATGAAGACTGTTTTTAATTCTAGGACAAGATGCCAACCTGACTCAGAAAACTCAGGTGACTCTTCATGGAACAGATGCATGTGATGACTCCTTTCCTGCACTGCTTCCTGATATCCCTGTAGGAGACTTGCAACCAGGGGAAAAGGTGAAGCCTTAAAATCTTCTTTCTATATCACACTTAAGAAAATGGGGATCAACTAATAAAAGACTCTCGCAGAAGGACCTATGTTTACTTTGAGATATCTGAACCCATAAGTGAAATACTTATGGCATATTTTACTTATTGTTTACTTGTAGTTTAGTATTTCTTTAGCTAGATCCCCTTTTGGACTGAATTTGTGAATAAGGTATATTTTGGGATTGATGATACAGCTGGGAGATAAGAAATAAAATAAGGAGGCTAATCTCACCTGTTAATTAAATGCACTGCCTAATGGACAGTAGATAATAATAGTCACAAGTGTGATTCAACATGGTAGAGGATCAAATATGCGGATGTTGCACCAAATTGTGACTAGTAAATTAAAAGTTGGGTATATTATATATTACACAGTAATACTTCTTTTCTTGTACTGTTAAGTAACAGATGAGTGTCAGTAGCAAAGCAACTGGAGCTGTACTACTCTGATTAAAATCATTCACTGTGTGGTTAAGATCATGCACTGTAGGAGATTCTTTGTGGTCAAAATAATACCCTGTATACTGGGTATATATATTGCCCCCTTGGACGAAGTAAGATGATTAACAAATTTTGGACAGCTCTAGGCCTAATTAATGTAATTTAGGTATAGTTTGGCTCATATTGTCTCCTTTATTTTGCAGCTGGAAAAACCGATATATATTCGTTGTGGAACAGTTGGTGCAAGAATGTTTCTGGTTTACGTTTCTTACTTAATCAACACTGTCGTTGAGGGGAAAGAAATCATCTGCAGGTGTCACCGGGTAGGATGTAAAGACACAGCAATTGCTGGAGATACATTCATGAAATGCAAGAAATATTCTCAATCTAAAGGATGTAATTCCAAGTCTCTTAGAAGCCTTTCTAGTAGATAGGAAAAAACACGCTGAATCAGCAGTATGGTAACCCAATTTAGAGTGAGCAGTTTCATAAGTATAATCAGAAGAAAAGTTTTCTATATTTATTCTTAAATATCCTAAAATATATGTGCCCTAGGGAGGACTTGATTAAAAGTAACTTTACATTAGTAATCTTTGACATCAATAGCCAGGTCTGAAACTGAATATAACACTTTTCCCTTCTTCTTCCCACCCCTTTTGTTACCTATACAGGATGAAACTGTAACCATAGAAACAGTATTTCCTTTTGATGTTGCTGTCAAATTTGTCTCCACAAAGGTACGTGTTTGAAAAGGTGTGACTCCAAAATATCAACAACACTTTCAATAGTTGCGCTCTGTTTAGTTAGAAATAGCCAGAGCTTGTGTCTCTCTTGACAGTTGGAGCACTTGGACAGAGTATTTGCAGATATACCATTTTTACTGATGACAGACATCCTGAGTGCCTCTCCTTGGCCTCTCACTATTGTAACCAGCCAGCTACAGCTGTCAACTTCCATGAGCCCGGTAGATCAACTGGAATCTTATGTAGAGAATGGTAAGTTTTCTTAGATTATGCTCTCTATCAGGGGAATACTTTTTGCATAAGTTGGGAGTAAGAAAGGGGGACATTTTAAACAGCGTTTGCTTCTCAAACTCTAAATAGAAGAAAGCTGCTTAATACTATAATTGCTTGCCAGAACACAACTTACACAGCAGTATGCTTCAAAATGTAGTTCTACTTCACTAGGTCGAGTAAATAGACTTGAATGATAGATGGTAACCAAAATTCTAAATGTAACAGATGTAAGGGAAAGGACCTGAAAGTGCTTCTGTTACACAACTTCTTAGATATCCATATGAAAAGATACTTATTATTTCCAGTGTTTATGGGCTACTATACTTTCTGGAATGCAGACACTTTGCCACATGATAGAGGCAGCATCCAAAAGCTAAAGTGATCCATATCCATGGTTGCAGTCATGAAACTGAAAAATGTGAAGGTAGACAGGGTAGGCTATAAAGAACAGTTAGAAGTAAGCATTTTTTTTTAATACCAGCACAGTTTAATAATGTATTACATCAATGTAAAAAAAAAAAAAATTATCTTGCAGATCTCAGCCTTTAAAAGTGCATTATGTTAGCTTTAAAGTCAAATAAATGGAGTATTTAGCAGTAGAGCAGATCCAAAATGTTCCAACGAAACATCCTCTTTGCATTTGCTGTCAGAGATGTGAAAATGTGTATATTCTACCAAAATTTGGAATAAAATGAGGCAGTCTGGATGGCTGCCTGATTGTGGGGCAGCTGCCCGCCCATGTAATCAAGGGCTTGCAAGGATCTAGTTGCTCTGTAGATTCAAGGATTACCTGGCAAAAAGCAATGATTTCCAAGGTCCTTTAGTCCTCAGACTATGATATTTCATCTTCAGCTCTGGCACGTTGTGCCTCATGGCTTCTGGTTGATGCTCCTAAAGAGCTAACTGCCAGGAGGTATGAACCCTCTCAGATACCAGCTATTCAACAGTCCACATTTTGGTTGATTTCCCCACCCCTATAAAACTTAAATGGTTAATTTTGAATGACTGAAACATCTATTTTCTTAGTACATTTTTTTGAGATCACTCTAAGTGGAAGGGTACTTTTTGGTTCATTCAAGTGGAAGAAAAAAGAAAAAAAGAGTGAAAACTCAAAACCAGTAGTTTTTTCTTGTTTCCTTTCTTCCCCGCCTCTCATCTGTTTGGATGGGAAAGGAGAAATATCCATGTTCATTTTAATTTTAAAACATGAGATATCTTATGCTGTTGTCTTGGAGTTTGCTGTGGGAGAAGCGTAGTATTTGAATTGACGTTATTTTGCTTTTTTTTTTTAAGCGTATGAACTCTAAATTTGCAATGACTTGTTCTGTGTGTACACGAGAGACCTCATAATGCCGTTCAAAAAGTAAACTGTCATATATTTGTATATATTGCCCTTTCATGTATTGGAATACTTCACAATCTTTATTGAATTTCTATATTATGTAGGTATACTTTGCAAAGCACTTCAAAGGCCTTTCTGACTGAACGCTTGTGTTTGTGTCATTGGATTTTTAGACTTGGTGGCTTCTGCAGTAACAATCATGCTTTGATTTTAAACAAAATCTTGCTGATAGTTGTTTTACAGACAGGTGAGAGTGCCAGTGAGTGCTTTTGCCTTCGATGTCCTCCAGTTACTAATGCTAGTGGAGTGGCGACTGGATGTTATATCATTTCCTGGAAGAGGTAGGTATCTCTTGACCTGGATGGGGAAAGGAAATAAGTTGCTTGGTTTTTGGGAGATGATGATGAGTTCTTTGGTTTTTTGTGGTGTTTGGGGTTGGTTTTGTTTGTTTGTTTCTTTGGTTTTGGATCTTCCTGTAGCAAGAACTATCTAGACTTTGGACCTTACTAATTACTGCTTAGCTTGTTAGACTTTTGATTAAATACATATTTCACTTAACAGATAAGTATTATGTGGTTATGATTTTAACATTCCATGAAGCTGCTTTCTTTGTAAGATCTTAGGTCAATTACAAAGCTACCTTGTCACTTTCTGCTCCCTGTTTTCTCCAGTCATTAAATACTTCCCTCGAGAAGCCAAGTCAAAGGAATAGTTTTGTGATAGTAGAAACAAACAAACTTTTAAAATGGGAAAACTAACTTTTTTGCCCACCCTAGATTGTGGGTTTATGTATTCACTCAGTTTTCAAAGGCATATGTTGAGGTATATCTTTCTTCTAGTTTGCTTTTATGTAGTTTTGGAGGTCTTTAGTTTTCTTACTTGTCTCTTGCTATTTTATCTCCATGCTGTGGTGGTTTTTTTAGTCACTTCAAACAATCCAATATAAGGATTTATTTGTTTGTTTTTTTTTCCACCACTGAAATGGCTATAATTTTAGTTTAGTCACATATAGGTGGTGTTCTTCTGGTGTACTTGCCTGATACTTCATGTTGTATAACTTTTAACATGGTCTGCGTTTGACTTTTTTTCTGCAGAAGTTCACCTGTGGAAAGTGTACCTGTTGTTAGTACGGTCATCACTCTACCGCATGTGATTGTAGAGAGCATTCCACTCCATGTTAATGCAGGTAATATTAATTTGGCAACATATATGTCCCGATTAGAATTTTTAGGACTACCAGTGTTTTGCAGCATCCAGAGCTTGCATTTACTCTAGCAAAAGACAGAAAACTGGTGCTAGATTTTAGGCAGCTGGTGAAAGAAACTGTATCATTGCTTAGACTGCCTCAAGCCTTGCCCCTCTTTTCCCCCTTCAATTCAAGGGAAAAGCTGGAAGGTAGTTAGACAAATGAGTTCTCTTAAAAGCTGTCAATGAATTGACTTGTGTTACATGGCAGCACAGAGGCCAGAGTTACCTCTGCTGATGCTGCCTTCCCAGTAGATCTCTCTAGACGCCTATGGCAAGAATTGTTCCATCCACCCACGCCTTGATTGCATCCCAGGAAAGAAACAGCCTGGAGAATTGGAGCTGCTTGTGGGCAGGTGAACTGTTCCTATTCTAGCACTTCACCTGTACGAGAGCAGAGGGGGAGTGGAATGCTTGCTGAACACACAGAATTCCTGTGCTTCCTTCAGTTCGGTTTCATTTGTACTGAGATTCTTCCACCATCCTTTCCAGTTAAACTTTGAAGGAGTTTCGTGGCAGTATCCAACAAGGTTTTAGTATGCTGAAAATACCCAGCAGCAACAAAAGTGGCTTCCTAGTTAGCATTCCTGGACAGCGTTAGCAGTTTCGTAACTAGGTATTGAAGGAGTGTTACTGAAAAGTTGTAATGAAGTTGTGTTCTGTTCTTTAGTCTTTCGCTGAAAAATCTTTTCAGAAATGCTTTAGATGCCTAGTTACTGTATCTCTTTTTTCTTTTTTTTTTTTCTCCAAACTTTTCACTGCTCTTGCCAATAGACTTATTTTTTATGTATGGAACTTTAAAATGTATTTTGTATTTGAGATTACTTACTTTCTTTCCAAAGATCTGCCATCATTTGGTCGAGTCCGAGAATCCCTACCTGTCAGATATCACCTGCAAAATAAGACCAACTTAGTCCAGGATGTGGAGGTGTCAGTGGAACCCAGTGATGCCTTCATGTTCTCTGGCCTTAAACAGGTACAGAATTGTCACATCTACCGATCCTGCGGGCTTATCTGGTAGTGAAGAATACATTGATTAGACTTACACTGATGTGCAGCGAGGACAAACTCATTGGGTTTTAGTTGTTTGAAGTACTGTAAATTCTGTCTGGAAGAACACGTGGATGCAGACTCCATTTAAAGAAGGGCTAAATAGAAGCCTGACTAGGAGCCGTTTGTCGTGTTGTTTATGGGTAACATGGTGTTTCAGTATAGAAGTGATAGTTTAACTGGAACAGAAGAGTGGCTGCATTCTTTCCATCTTCAGAAAGTAAACACTGTATAAATAGAAAGTAAACAGAGGACTGCTTTTGGTCACAGAACTTACCTATGTTTGTGGCTTTTTTCTTTTCTTTTTTAAGATCCGATTAAGAATCCTTCCTGGCACACAGCAGGAAATGTTATATAACTTCTACCCTCTGATGGCTGGGTATCAACAGTTACCATCTCTTCATGTTAACTTGCTGCGATTCCCAAACTTCACTAATCAGTTGCTCAGACGATTCATACCGACACATATTTTTGTAAAGGTAAGACTCTGAGAAGTGCCTTGTGTTTAAAGGCTCCCTGTGGGGCTGCTCAGTTTTTGGGGACTACCACCCCAGCTCTGTTGGAAGCTGAGTGTTTCTAAGCCAACTAAAATGGCCAGCTTGTAACAGAGTTATTTTCTTTGAAAAGTCTTGTGTTGTGCGTTGGTGTCATCAACCAAAATCTTTAAGAAATCTGTTTAAGTGCAACAGGTATTTGGTTACAATTAGATGAACTAGCTGAATGTGCTTAGCCTGTCCCTGTTACTCCATGTCTTACTCTCTAAGATAAGTTTTAAGGTTGTCTGCATTTTGAGTACAATGGAGTGAGCTAAATATAATGAAATACTTTAATACCATAATTTGTAGCACTTCTGGAAAAAAAGAAGTATTTGAGCAACCCATATGACTAGGTTCAGAAACACTGTAGCATCCCATGCCTCCCTAAATAACTTCTCAAAACACATCCTCTCAGTGAATCACTGAGTCTAGATTTTTTTTTTAAGTGGTACAACTCTGAAGACAATTCGATCATGTAATGAAAAATAGATCACAGGCTTCTTTTGACTTTTTTAAGAATCATTTAAATCCAGTTACCCAAAACAATGCTTTCTTATTCCACTGCTGCTATCTCCAGAATATTGTTTTCACTTTAGTCAGACTCTCAGCAAGCAAGGAGCCTGAAGAGTTTGTTTATATAACTGGAGTCGGACTTGTTCAGACATCTGTAATCCTGTTTCCAGGAAACAGGCCTGGTGTTCTTTCAATTTTGTTTTAGCCGAAAGAGATAGGCAGAACTTACTTATTGCATATGCTGTCAGTCAGTGGCTCTTCTAAACTGGTTGTCAAGTTGTCATCCTAAGTCAATACAGAAGACTCTTTTCCTCAAAAGTGTGGTGTTCTCAACGCTCCGGTGGAACCTGTCAGGCTTCAGAATTCTTTGTTTTTGCTTTGGAGTTGTCAGGACCTTAAACCTTATTGTAAGGGTGCCTTTTCTTCTTTAGAACTTTCTCCTTACTTTCTCCTGTCTCTAGTGATTCTGCTTTAGATTCTTCCAAGAAACTGTCAATCTCATTCCCGTTTTATGCATTGATAATTATCAGCTTTTTATACTGCGGTAATAGTGGGAACTCTGATCAGCCAGGTCTTGTGCAAAGCTGTCCAAACGTGTACGGAGATGACCTTGGCATTTAACAGAGCAGTTAAGGAGCTGAGGTCTCTACCAAGTACTCAGTGGGCCGAACGGAAATTTCAGTTGGATGTCCTCTGTGTTTGTGCTACTACTGGAAACCCTTAGAAGTAAGGATAGGCTTAAGCTGCACCTGTGTACTAGAGCTACATTGATCAACACAATGTGTTGCAAAGTGGGCTTCATAACAGCCTTGATCTTTTGCATTTTTGGTTGTTGGTTTTGGTTGTTTGTGGTTTTTTTTTTTTAATTCTCTGTCTTTATTTTCTTAAAGCCTCAGGGTCGTCAAGCGGATGATAACTCGATTGCAGCTGCGTAACTTTGAGACCTGTACCTCTGCACTTAAAGAAAATGGGATGTTGCACAGAATACCTAAAGCTTACTTTGGAAACACGGCTTTGATCAAACCATAAGAATTAAATTTTATTTTGAAATTGCAACGCTTAGCAGAACTAATGTTTAAAACAAAACAAACAAAAAAACCCAACCAAACAAAAAAAAAAAACCCCACAAACCCACAAACTAGTCTTTTGTAGACTTTCTTCAAGGAATAAACATATGGGGAAAACTTGGTGCTTTATTTATCAGGAACATTCTTTTGAAGTTAACTTTGAATGTCAAGCTCTTAAAAGTATTATTAAGGCATGTTAAATGTCTTGAGTATTTAAGTGAAGAAATGCTAATTCATTTGACCAAAACCAAAAGACATTTTCGTAATTAACAGTAAGTTGAAGTGCAAAGTTTTGTACTTACTATTAGAGATTTACAACATTGAAAATTATCATCTTTTACAGAAGTTTGTTCTGTGCCACTGGTGTTGAGGGCAGAATAGGGTGTGCAGTAGCACAGTAAACTACAAATGGTTACGTTGTACTGTTGGAATTGAGCGGCTTACTAGTTCTCTAAAACCATAAATCTAAAAGGCACTATTTCTCCTGGGTAAGCCGTACATCCAAATTTGAATTCAGCAGCTAGTCTAATGAACAGAGAGATTCATTCGTAACAGTCGGACTATTCAGCCTGAAGCTGATAGGGTCTTGGATTATTTTTACACACACAACTTCCAGATTAAAGATAAGACTTAACAGTCTCCTGTTGTGTGAATTTGGAAAATGGACATCCTCCTGTTGTACAGCTCCAGATGAACTGGTGTTTAAAATACAGTAAATCTTGTATATAAGAAAGAATGCATTGTGAAAACCTCAGTTGTTTAACTTTCTAAATAATTACATTTTGATTGCTTGGGAAATACCTTATTTATTGTCAAAGTGAAGTTCTAATAAACAGCTTGTAACAGAGTACTTCTGAAACTGTGTCCTTAATTACATTGTTTTCACAGCTGCTGTTTCATAACTCTGGTCTGTCTTGTGAGCTGATACATTCATTTATGGCACTGAAGTCCAAAATAACAGCTGTAATACTTGGAGAAAAGCATGTAAACATTCCTTACCACTGAAAGGACTGCAGGCTAATTGGCAGTCCTGGAAAAAATATGCATAAGCATATACAGCTTTTCCATGGAGTGCAGCTGTAGTTATGAGGGTTTTTTTTTTTTTCAGTGTGTAGAGGAAGAAAAGATGACTACTGACAAACCATGCTGGGAAGAACAAATGAAACCTTCCTTATTCTTTGCTGAAATATCATGAACTAAGTGATAGTTATAGAGTAGGTATCATCTCTTTTTTTTTTTTTTTTTAAGAGTAGAAAATGTATTTAATTTCCAGATTTTTTAGATTTTTTTTTTCTTTTAAGTAGCTACTCTGATTACAGCAACTCTGGCACCTCTGCTACTGCTTTTTAAAGACATGTTGATACAAGTGGTGTAAGTGTTTGGTGGAGAACTGGGGTGCCTTCCCCCG